GACAGACAGAGAAAGAGACATCAGGAAGATGTGCCTTTCACACTAAAAAGCGGTTGTTTACATTGCTGAAATGGAAGTTGACCTTAAAGGTTATCTAAAATGTAGAGAACGTGTCAAAACGGTTGACAAGGTACTCAAGGGGCACAGGGACGAGTAGTACAGAGTAACACCACACCGCTGTTCTAAACTGTAGCTCCTCTGAAAGTCCCTCCTCTATTTGCCCTCTGCTGTGTGAAGATCTCCAGTCTTTATCAGCTGTATTGTTCTGTGGAGATGCAGTCATTGGAAGCTCTAAGCGCTAAGCCATTTATTGAACAGGCTTTTTAATCCCCCCCTCCCGATTCCCCCCTCTGCTGCATACCCCTTTGATGTGAGGGGCTGCGCTACAATGGGCTCCTACTGGCAATGCAGCACATGACACCAGAGAGAACAGCAAAAAGCACCGTACAGTACAAACAGGGACCCTCTCTCCTGCCCTTGTGTCAGTTCACTCGAGCCGTTTTGCTCTAAAATGCCACATATCCATGTTTAAATGTGTCTGCATGTATCAATTAATTAATTACAATTAATACTTAATTCAAATTATATTTTATTTCAACCTGTCAAAGTACAAGTTATTGTTTTAGAAACACGTTGAAATGGTGATTTGTTGAACCTTTGAGTTATATTACTGAGTCCTAATGTTCTCTTTATAAAACTGGGTAAGGGGTCTAGGAATGAAAGGTGTTAGATGCTGTCTAGATTGCAGTCCTTTAAAGTAAAAGTATGATTTGACATACAGTATTTAGCTTAAACAATTCAATTGACGTAACTGGATTTGACAATGGGTCCACACACAGTTTTGTGCAAAACAACAGAAACGAGAGGCAATGCAACATACAAGCCCGTTCAGATGTATGCAGAATGTGTGGTAGGAATTTCCAAAGCAAAACAGGAAATTAAGAGAAGTGCGTCTTGCAGAAATGACTGCTAAATGTATCATCACTGACTCTAAAATTCACAATAAAATAACCAGAAAGGATGGAAGAGATAAGACAGAATAAGAGAAGAGTGGGAAAGAAATGTTTGCCCCTCTTATCATTAATACATCAGTAATATCCATCTTGTTATGTGTGCATAGACAGGTGGCAGAAATATTGCAGGTGAGATGGTGAGAGGAAATTATGAGGAGTTATGCATTCAAATCGATTCAAATGTGTGAATTACAAAAGTGATTGGTGGAAAAAGTAAAATATTGCTAGAGTGAAGAGTTCTTCTATTGAGCTCAGAGTATGATTATATGCATATAGTGATATAGTGTGGGTGTTTTCATATAGTATAGTGTAGTGTATGTTTTATCTATTGATTGGACAGCCTCCTAACAAAGTGCACAATAATTAGCTATTTATTTATTCCGCACCGTGGATTTTAACAATGTGATAGATACTTTATGCCAAGAAGTTTCTTGTTACAGCATGTTTATGGCTGGAATAAATTAATAAGCACATCAATAGCGTTGGTTTGACTTTATCTATGTCATTTGGTTATCAGTGAGTGTGTGGGGACGTTACAGTGTGTACTTTGGGACAGCTGCCTGTTAGTCATGAAGCAGGGTGGATAAAGAAAAAAGAGTAATAACTTAGGAAGGAAATTGAATCCTTTGTTGTGACATTTCAGAGAAAAACTGTTGTAAGGTAGAAGAAAAAATACTCTTTTTGTTGTTTCCTTATGGCTGATAAGTTATTGTATTTTGAATAGTCTGTATACTCATGCAGTAACAAATGAGAGAAAAACTAATACATATATTTACATAATAGGAATCTAATAATATAATAGTAGATTATGAGACATCTGGCTTGTCTATTCACATATATGCCTAGTTGTTGTGTTCTAGGATTGTGTTGTGATAGGCACTGTTTAAGCTGAATGCCTTTTTTGACTTGTGGTATAAAGAGTGCATTATTGAATTTATAAATGTGTTTCTATAACCAATATATTATCTTCAGCAGACGACACTTTCTTTTGCACTCTAAGAAATATTTGGCACTGCAGACATGTGTAGCTGAAATGCACAAAGAACCAGGTGCTCAACCTCCACTGATGTTTTAGTTTTGATTCATGTCAGGCTGTGATTGGCTACTGTAGTTGCATCACACAATGAGACATGCTTGTAACCATACAGAGGTAGAACATCATGCATGATGTTTATCAAAATACAAATAATCACCAGTGAAGATTTTTATGAGGGGCCGTACAGGCCGTAATTCATACTGGTCCTCTCACACATACAGTACATATATTCTCCTTTTACATACATACATTTTCACTCTCACATATATATATATATATGCACTCACACATTCATACATTTTGCTCTCATATTATCTTATTTCTTTGCTCTCATATTCATATATTGTAACGCTCATATTTATACATTTTGCTTTCATGCACATTCATTCAATGTTTACATTTAATATTATAAATAATATATGCATGTCTGAAGACAATATATGTATGTGTGAGAGAAAGTACAGTGGAAACGGAAGGGAGGTCATTATCGCGCTGTGATTGGCTCAGAAGGTCGAGCTCATGTTCAGAACTTTGGATTCAAATCAACATGATGGAGGGAGATTAATCCGTGTATCTTATACCATTTGTTTTTCTTTATTAAAAAAGTAAACAGAAGAGCGTCTGAGAGGCGTTTTTGTTTTTTACCTTACTAAATTGTCTAATGGTCATTGGAGCGAGGGGGGGGGGATCTTATTTCGGAAAAGTATTGAAGTCAATGGGGAGAGAAAGATTATCTTTCGATTCCGTTTGAATTGTGCCATGAATTACACATATGTTTGCCAATTTAAAAGATAATTTTGCAAGTCAAAAAATTGTTAAATGTGTCGTAAAACTGTGAAGTAACACTTTTTTTGTGTGAAACCGCTCAATGAACTACATCTCCCGTTTCACACCACACACCAAGACGGTCGTCACTTTGGCACATTTCACTTCTTTCTTTCAGTATTAAATGAGGTGCAAATCACTGCAAGTCTGGGTATGTTGAGAGCTGTACATATACACACAAGGGGAGTTAGTCGGTTCCGTAAGAGCCAGAATGCAGGACCGGGATTCTGGGATTTGTAGTCTTTCTAGTTGCATATTTTTCATAGTCTTATATTTCAACAGTTTTACGACAAACTGTGACTTTTTTTACATGGAAATTATTTTTTAATTTTAACAAACATCATATGTGTAATTCATGGCACAATTCAAACGGGATCGAAAGATACTTTTTCTCTCTCCATTGACTTCAAGATTTTTTCTTTTGGAGTTAAATGCATCAATCTAGTGCACTTTGAGGGAAAAATAAAGAGACTAGCTCTATGGAAACACCCATATGAAACATAACTATACATTTCAATAATCATAAAATCATGGCCATAACCAACGACACAACATATCCAACATAAAAAAAAACACTGAAACTAATAGCCCCTAATAGATTTTAGTTCACCTGCATTTGGCAATTTAGCTGCAAATGTCTGCATGTGATGTAAACAGACCAGCATTCTCTCTTCATCAGTGTCTGTCTTTTAGATAACTTAACTGTGTCTGTAATCAGTTTTACAAAGTAACCTGCTACATTTGAAAAAGTAAATGATCCCATGGTATCTGAATGTTGATAACAAACAACACAATTACACTGTTGTAAGATATATTCAAATATTTTGGTGGGGGTATCTGAAGCACAGTGTTCTAGAGATATATTATCATTGTTTCATGAAGATATAAGCCCATATAGGGAATTAACAGTTCCTTTAGAAGTTCCTTTGGTGTTTAGGAAACCACTTTTGAATTGTTTTTCATTAGGCCCAGGTGCATTATCAACCTTGTGTATGTACATAGGAACATCTTGTGGGAACCGTGTTTGCACTATAGGGAACTCTTGGTCTTGTTAAATGGTCTTCATTATGTTGGCTGTAATATGGTCATGGAGAGTGATCACAGCACCTAACGACTCTCACGAGATGACTGCATTTAAACATCCCTGTTTATGTTTAAGACCTACTGGCTCAGGTATGGCTTTAAACAAACAATGGCAAAAGCTCTGTAATGCACATAATAGGCATCTTGGGAATTTGAAAATATTAAAATAAAGACACATCTTCGGATTTAGGCCATATTGTTGCTGACGGGGTTTTATTGACAGCAAATGCAAATTAGCATGTATTTATTAATCCTGCATACTTGGCACCGACTGTGATTATTAGAGCTTATTAAATGGATGGTGTATATACTGTATGCAGTATGTCAGAACGGTGAGGAAATCATTATTTCTCCTCAGCAGATGCTGTTTTACTATATTCCATAAACTCCCTGCATCAAACATATTTTGCCATCATAACTTCAAAGCCGGTTTTCATCACCAAGTTTGGCATGTTTTCAATGTGTCTAATTAGCACACTCACTTATTGCCAGCGATGCCTTGCTGCATATCAGGCCTGGTCCCATGAGGGAGCACAAGCATTGTTCAGGTCTACATTTACTTCACCTGCTTGTGTCTGTGTGCATCATGGTGTAAGGTGAATTTGTTGTTATGTTTTAACATTCTGCATAAGACAAAGCCTGCGCCAACTTGCGTGTGAGTGTGGATGATGTGATGATAAGAAGTAGGGCTGCTCGATTATGGCAAAAATCATAATCTCGATTATTTTGGTCAATAATTGATATCACCATTATGAAAAATGATTATCCATTTACTTTGAAAACATCAATTTATTGGAGAAAAAAAATGTGAACAGTATGTTTTTAACAGTTGATTACCCTGAACTTTAAGTATAATTCAACTGGAAGAAAAAACAAAAAAAGTAATTTCAAAATAAATAAATAAGAAAAAAATTATCGTTTTATTTTGATTACGTTGTTTTCGTAATCGTTGCAAGCCATAATCGTAATTGCGATTAAAATATGATTCATTGAGCAGCCTTAATAAGAAGTCAGTTAAACAAAGTAAGATAGATTATGCTTACCATAGATGCCTGTGGATATACATGGGAAGGCCTGTGTAGAAAAAGACAGAAATAGAAGTAAAAACATATTCCGTTGAATAAGTACGACATAACAGCACTACAGAGTGTAACCATTGAAGCATACCTATTGTTTGCTTTAAATATGCGTTTACTTCCCTGCTTCTCTTGTTCATTCCCAAGGGGAGCAATTCACAGTGCCATTTGTTCATACCCCTTCAATGCTAATGTACCACTGTTTTATAAAACAATGCTCTAGCTCCCAACACACAGTGTACTTCTCTTGACTTCCAAAACTGTCTCATCCAATTTATCCTGAGACTCGAACACCCCTCTGCACATTAGATCGATTATCACGATCACACTGCTGCATAAAAGAGGCTGTTGGACTTTTATGAAACCCTATCATTCAATGTTGCAGCAATGAGCGAGACGGCCAATTAGTACTTAATGCCCATACTTGATGTCCATAACACTGGTAGTTTGCATATGTTGCTTGAGGGAATGTTGGATCAGGCTCATGTGAATTGGTAGCGCTCGCTGTTTAATAACCTCCAGCATATGAATATCCATTGAGGTCGATTGATCCTGTCTGTCGCCGTCAGCCCTAACTTACACACAGACTTTCTCTTCCAATGATCCAAACGAAGGACTGAGGCGGCTTCACACAAAAAAATTTCCTTCAGTCTTTTAAAATATGTCTTTAATTTAACTCATTTGGATAGCTAGTCAGCTTTCATTCTGTATAAACTCAGCAGGATATGAAAACAACTAGGCCATAACAGCAGGAGGCAGCTTTTTCAAATGATGAGAAAACTAGAGAAAACAAAGTCATTGTTGCCACATTTGGATCAATAGCAGGAATCAATAATATCCCAACAACCACAAGGGACATATACAGAAAACAAAACAACATTCAGAGAATCATAATGCTTATTATAAATATATATAAAAAAACTACGTATATTTATGGCTGTCTTTTCCAAGATGATTATAAAAAGTAACCACCTTGTAATAGTTGTTGCTTTGTAGCACTTTGCAGCAGACATATTATTCAGGCATGGCTTTATAGCTGAAAATAGTTTCATTATTCTTTCCTTCTGTGAGCAAATACATTATGATACATAGGCCTTGCTGTAAGATTACCTATTTCACATTCATCTTTTTTAGTATATTAATAAACAGTAAAGAGGAAAGATTTTTTTCAAAGGTCCCAGTTGTCCTCAAAAGCCGCTGAATACGTGCTTTAGTTCCTGCATTCATCAAAAGGGGTGGCCACAGCATTAATATATTAAAATGACAAATGAAAAAAAAGGGAAAACATTTCCACCAGCAGCAAACAACTGGATGAATATAGAACAACAAAACACTACCGAGATTCATCAGAGACTAACATGCTGCATATGTCTAATTCTCCCCGTACCAAAACGAAGCCCAACAGTTTGTTTTGCCCCGCTGACCCTGTCAAGTTGTATTTAGAAACATTCTGTTGCTAGCAGCCCTGCCAAGATCACTTTGTTTTAGAACTAAAAACTAAATTAATAGATCTGAAAGAGAAAGATAAAACATGTCTGCTCGTATGATGATTGTACAAACAAGGGCTTTGTGAGTCTTTCAACTGAGAGAAGAAAGAAACATAATTCACACATTTTGAAAGTTAATAATTGACTATAAAGGCTGATAAAATATTTAGACTTTTTCCTCTGAAGCAACACAAGCGACATCCGCCTTGAAATGAAATGGTCTGTTTGTCCTTGCTTTATGCAAGAGGAATGAGTCTGTTTGTATTCTTATTTACCGGTTTTCAGGTTCCGCCTGTCAAGGTGAATCTTTCTTCTCTGGGATGATTTAAATCTTTTACCGCAGCTTTGACCTTTCCAGTTGACTGGAAAGACAGTCTGGGTCTGACACAAACCACAGATGATGAAGCGTGGAAAAGCATGGCCATTTTTAGTCCTATGCCAAGCCCTGCCCATGGCACACACACAGTCATATCGAGACTGATTACACTAAATGATCTTATATACCAAAACCAATGTTAAGAGAAAGAAATGACAACTATATGCAAGTTGGATTTCCGATTTAAACAATTCTGTACTTGAAAACCCGAAAGGATGTCTAAATTAATTACTGCACAACAGAAATGCAGAGCTTCAAAAAGTGTACTGATTGTCCATGGACTCATTGGCAGCATATTTCAAACAAGCAACTTTGATTATACTCAGAAAAGTGATTTATACATGTAATGTATTAGTATTATTATATTGAGAATCCGAACACCTTAACTAAATTATGCACATTCTACAATTTGCTGCATTACACAAACTAAGATTAACTTCAGAAGAAAGATTTTATTTGAGGCTTTGTGATAATAAGTATGAAGTCAAATGAATTTAATCTGCAGACAAGAGTATTATTTCCTGTCAGCGCCTCCAGCCAGTCTCGTCTGCCAAACTGATCCTGAGCCAGAAGCCTCGTTATCTTCTCTGAGCTGAAAGGCCGCCATGTCAGTCTCTTCAACTTGAACCTCTGCTCGGATGGCAGCTACAACTTAAAACATTGCAGGCTGTGGCAATGACACACCTTCAGGATAATCAATCAAACCCTGTTTTATTAGTTTCCTGACTGATCCATTAAAGAGTATTGATCTTTGGGTGTGAAATGCATCGGGTAATCACTTAACGGGATGCTGTTAAGATCTGACACCTTTGTGGCAAATGCAGATGTCATTTACTTGTTTAAAGGACTGTTATTGCAAAAAGCGAAGATAAGTATATGTCCAATAAAACCTGTAAAGCCCAGAGAGCATTTTGGCAGATGCAACTCCTTTTCATCTATAAATCAGAGACACAAATGCACTGCAATAAATACCACTAAGTTATGCTGAAATAATGATAATCAATTTCAGTAAATACCCACATGCTATATATAAAAATATCAGCTTCAAGTTTTGTTAGCTTAATTAAAAGCTTCAGCCGTTAAATAAAATGTATATTATGTAAAGGTGAGCAGGGGAACACCAGTAGCTGTTTACTGCTGCAGCACCTGCTTTAGTAATGCAATCATTTACAGAAAGAGTAGGAGCAGTGACGTGACGGTCAGGACTAATAGAAATGATAAATAAAACCGAGCCTTTTCAGGGACAGAAAACAAATAATCCAAAGTCATTTAAGCAGTTGACTGCATCGAAGCCAGGAATCCTAAAACTAAATGCAAAACTAAAGCAGATTTCAGAAGCAGCAAGCCTCACTGTTCTCTTTTCCTTTCCCATCAACCCTAGGCCACCTCAGAAGCTATTTTGATAGTTGTTAGCGTGCAAACCTGTACATCTGCTTACAGTGCATAAGGTCCAGTGCTAATTAGGACAGTCAGTGGTCTATATGACCTAGGATTCGTGGTTTAGGTTATTATTTCTAACTCTGGCTGTTCATTAGCAGTGAGTCAGCATGTTCGCTCGCACTCTGGCGTGAGGCTGTGCCTGACATGTTGGCTTGTTGCTGATTTCTTTGCTTAGGGAGTGTTCAGAAATTGGTCACCAGGGAAATTATTCTGTTGCTAGGGCTCCTCCCTAATCTATCACATCACTTTAAAGTGGAGCACCTTTCCTCTCGGCGTCTCTGCACACATATTCAGCTCACAGTACATCAAGTACAACACAGAGAGGCTTCTGTGATTATAGTTTGAAAACATTACAAGTTACAGTCATGCCTTCTTTTAATGAAGATGGTGTTAATTAGAATTTACATGCTTTTACTATAATATTTACACAAGGATTTTCCTTTAATTAATGCATCCACCACTTATTAAAACGATGATTTATTGACTTCAAAGTGTGACTAGAGTTTTGCAAAGACAGTGCTCATAAAACTAAGTCACTGTTATTCCACTGAGAACATGATAGCCTGCAGCTTTCACTCATTTATTAAGCAGCGGGAAATGACACAGTAGAGATGGCTCAACCTGTGGCAAATTGTGGCCGTCCTCCTGTAGCTGTCGCCTTCCCATGAGCAGACAGGTAAATGTAAGAAAAGCATGCATGGGCACAGCGAGCGCAGGACCCTGCCAGGGGAGCTCCTGGTCTCGGCTGGCTGAGTAAATAGCAGTGGACACAGGGTGCTGCCCCCGGAGCTTAAAGCCTCCTAGTCTGTTTGCAGATGGAAGCTCTGCTTATAAATCACAGCAGCAAGGGGAGACCTTGTGCAAATGCATCCACAAGTATGTTATTATTCACCACTGTTGCCCCAGTGTGGGCTTATATCCGAGTATCAGAACATGAATCCAAGAGAATCCTCTTTGTTGACTGCTGTAATTCTTTAAGCATGTAGGTCATGCCTGGCCTCTCTGTCTGAAGCAGCTACCTGCTGCTGAGGCTGCTGGGAAGCTTGTCACGGTTACAGATCAGGATATTCAAATACTCCACATTAACACCCTTTTATTCTGCATAACACCACACTCCATATTATAATGCGAGAGCTGATTGTTTGAGAGTCATTATGCTAAATGGAGGATGAAGAAATGCAGAGGGCGAGAAACCTGGAACCTAATGGCCCGAGTCCCACCACCCATTGTATATCTGCTGTGATCAAGTAAAACTATTATCATAATACTATTTGAGTGTCCATTAGACTCAGCACCACTAGCTGTGTTTACATGCAGGGTGGACCTACAGGCCATGACACTCTGGAAAACAGTTTATTAAGGAGACACTGTGTAGCTATGAGTAAAGCAGAACATTCCTGTCCACAATGTTTGATTTCACTTTTATGTGGATGGTACAAAGATCAACCTCCACCTTGAGCAGGTGATACCATAACTACGACAAACTATCTGACCTCAACACTCTCAAGACAATAAATCCCGGATAGCTGCAAACTTAGCTAAATGAGAATAAACCAGATGTTATTGTTTTGGACCACATAATTTGACCAATATTATTTCTCCTCATAGGCCCCCCTTCTGTTAGAAAAGAACCAGAGGTGGTATGCAACTGGGGTTTAAATGTTTCAAACAAATACATCTGGGTTTTAAAACTAAGCGTCACGCA